TCTCAGCTGGACAAACGGGTTTCCAAAATTCCAAAGGAGAGGATCCCCTCAGAAGCCCAAGTGGTAACTTCTTATAATAAAACCTGGAAGTACAGGGATGCCTCAAAAGAATTGTGGGTTTGGTTTTTGCCTGAAAACAAATACGCAGAAGAGAGATGTACTGGCAAACACAATACCAGCTGGGATTGTTTGAGATACACAGAGACTTCTGATCAATAGTTTTTTATAGTCAGGAAGTAGCTGAGAAAGTTTCTTAGCATCAGGAGGGTGTATTCTCTAGGTCTCTCTTTCTTGGTTTTATAACAAGGAAGGTGTTATAAATGTAAGGAACTTCTGGAGATAAAAATACTGAATAACTTTAGACTTCTACAAAAATTTTAGATATACAGGTAGAAATTTAAGGGTGGCCACTAAGGAAGAGGAATTTAATTTATAACTCCCAAATATGGAGAATATAAAGTATGTGGGTGGAGGGGGTAGTTACAGGAAAACTCACCCATCTGGCAGAAGACCAGATCTAAGGAAATAATTATAAATAATGACAAACAAAACACATAAGATAAAATAGTAAAAAATAAATACAAATGTCATAAACACTATCAATGTAAACGGACTAAGTTGATGTTTTATGTTGGACAGTATCAGATTCAATGAAGAAAAAAAATTCAGTTATGTGTTGCTAACATGAGAGAAATCCAGAGTAAAATGTCGCAGAAAGTTTGAAGATATGCTACACAGTGTTCATCTGGAAGTGGAGAGAAGCTTTCATCTGCCTTAGTCTTCTCCAATAATTATAAATTCTGAGAAACATATGAAAATAGCCCAAGTATTCAAAGGCACTGGAGAATGACCAGAAGCAGGCAGATACTGGGGGGGGAGGGGTAAACATTAAAGAAAGGAATCACACTGGGTGAGATACATGTCTATAAAACTTTTGTGAGTGCAGGGATGCTAGAACTCAAACAGCAAAAAGGGCATTACTGGTTTGAGGCATCCTTGGACAGAGTTTGGGGCTGCCCAAGCAATTTGAAAGTGAGGAAGAAGCCATCAGAATGGGCAGAGCCACAAAACAGGGAGTCTCAGAATCTACGATAAACCTCAAAGTTTTGGCTGACTGGCTGTGCATGTGCAGGGGAGTCAAGGAGTAGTGGTAGTGAAGGCTGAAAACTCTCACAGAAATTTCAGCTGCTGTCTTCTGCAAAGGAAATTGTCAGGAATGTGGGTCCAGACAAGTTAACTGCCTGCTAGAACAAAAATGCACCCTGTTCAAGAAGGTAATAGAATTCAAAGTCTACAATTTATTCCCAATGTATTGTATATGATAAACCATTACCAAACATGTCAATGTTTATAGCAGCTTTATTCCCCAAACTGGAAACCCAAATATAGATCAACAGAAGAATGGAAACAAATTGAGAGTTACTCTTACAACAGACTATTACTCAGCCATGAAAAGTAAGGAAGTACTGATACCATACAATGGCATGAATGAATCTCACAGATCTTATACATAGATTGAAGAGTATATATTGCATGATTCCATGTATGCAATGCTTAGAAAAGGCAAAAAGGCAAGAGGGAACTTGCTGCTGCATTGAAAAGGATCTATATCTTGAAGGGATGTGGTTGTCAAGAACTGTGAAAGGTCTGAGATTTTACCCTACTTGCACCATAACAAGTTAGCCTGCCACCTTCTCATGGCTGCTGGCAGAAGACACAAAACTCCTGTGTGAGAGACAAAGGACTTGAGTATCCACAGCACAATAAGCAGAATAGGCTTCAGGCTGGCAGGCTCCTCCTGTACTCAGTCTTAGGGAACCTAACTCTTTCATAAAAGGTAGTAACTAGGCTTTGTCCCAGGAGACACTGGGCAGTCAGCCAACCTGCCTTCTGTTCCAGAGGGAGGCACTATCTTTCAAGGCTCTTCGCTACATAAGTATCCTCTCTCCTTGCAAGACAACTGAAACAAACCCACAAAACAGTCTCCAATAAAGGGTTACATTGTGTGTACTTGTTAAGATTTTCTGAAACTTACAATTAAGGTTTGTGCACTGCATCGTAAGACTTGTCTCCAAAACATAACAAAACCCCATCAAAACATATAAAAGGAGAACTGGTGTTGACATATTAAGGATGGTAGTAAAAGGGGAATTTCTTTTGGTGATTCCTTTAAAACTGACAGGTCTGGGAGGAGCTAGCCTGTCTTACTCAAGTGGTATCTGAGCCCCATACACTATTTCTTCAAACTACATCATAATTATATTAAGCCACATCAAGGCAAGGAAGCAATGTGTTTTTCTTCATACTACTGTGCCCTTGGCACCCTGTACATAGATGCTCAGTATTTTATTTGTTGAATAAATTTGTACAACCAAGGTACAAGTGGTTTGATGCCACAGCCACTGAGCCATCCTTCTCATCCTGCTATCTGTAATCCTCTTTCTCTCCCTTCCTCCCAGATACACTTTTCTCACCTTTTCCTCCATCTCACTCTTTCAAGAAGTCATACAATAAACCAAGCCTTGTATGCACATATGAATAAAAAAAGAAAAATGAAAAAAAAAAAAGTCATACAATGAAATAAAATTATCTATTACATGCTCTATTTATAAGGTTAAGATTTTAATTTTTCCTTCTTAAAAAAAAAAAGAACTGTAAATTAAACAGTGTGTGAATTTAAGTGAGGCCATGAGTCATATTTCCTGAGTGTGACTCCCAGCTCTGCTACTTACTTGCTTTGTGCCCTAGAAGAAGCAATTTTTCTGTGCTTTACAGAATAATTTCATACAACTTTAGTTGGTGAAATAGGAAGAATTTTTACAGTGCTTACAAGAGTAGTGATATAGGAAGAGTAACAACTGTTATGGATTATTTAAAAATCATTGAGATTTGTATGTGGACTGCGAATCTGGCTCTAATAGAACTGCATAAAACAAAAACATAAAATTTAAATAAAAATTAGAATTTAAAAAATGGGTCTAGTAAGACCTCAGATCAAAAAATTAGCATTTAAACAACAGAGAATATAAAGAATGCAGACTATTTATAGGATCTCTGCATTAGGAGACATATATAGGAATCCTGTATATTGTAGTCCAAGTGGATAAAAATTTATTTTGTGCCTATTATTTGTGAAGTGTACAGCAGAGGTTGAAAAGGTTACAGAAATAAAACATTGGCTTTGCTCACAAAACACAATCTAGTAAGGGAAACAGTGCTCTTTTAAGTTTAAAAAGTTATACATGTTCTCCCAGGAGAAAAAGACAATAGTGAAAAACAAAATAACCATGTGGCTTCTTTTTAAACTCATTCTAGCCTAAAAAAATTATAAACCACACTATATGTAATTTGGTGTCCTGCTTCCTTTCACTAAATAGTAGGCATTATTCTAACACTATCTCTTAGTTTTGGAAGGACTTTTTATTGCATAATATTTAACTAGGGTCGTATGTAGCAGTTTCTGTAATCTCCATTATAGTCACTGATAGTGTAGTGGTAAACAGAGTGAACACTGATTAAGATTGCCTGTATTTGAAATCCACCTCTCCATTTGCTGGCTGTGTGACTGTGCACAAGTCACTTCATCTCTACTTCAGCTCCTTGCTTATAAAACAGTACTTACAAGCTGGGGCTGTAGTTCAGTGGGAGAGCACCTGCCTAGCACGTGCAAGGCCCTGGGTTCAATTCCTCAGCACCATGAAAATTAAAGGTAGTACTTACCTCACAGGGTTTTGTTTTGTATGTTAAACTAGCCTGTGCCTGACAAAGAAATGGTAAAGGCTCAATAAATTTAACTATCCTTCTAAGAAGCAGTTTTAGACATTGTAGTTGCCTCAGCAAAATTCCTACAGTACCTTCCTCACTATGTAGCAGCCATGTAGGTGGAAGAGGGTTAGATGCTGCTTCACTTAAGCAAATAAAATTAATCCCATTCCTCCAGCTGATGACTACAAACCACGCATCATCTAATCAACGTGATCACAGAATGGGCAAGTAACCACTCTGGGAAAACAAACCTCACTATGATACTACTAAGATATGTGGGGTTTTTTGGTGGTACTGGGGATTGAACTCAGGAATTCATGTTTGCTAGGCAGGCACTCCACCACTTGAGCCATGGCTCCAGCCCAAGATATGTGTTTTATTAACAGTTTTCTCCTAATCAAGACTGCTCTTTCATCAAAGGATAAAAACTACTTGACAACAGTGAATTTCTCTTTAAACGTATGATTTATACCTTCTAACAATTTAGATTTTTTTACATCCATAGTCGTAGGTGAAATAAGAATCTATAGCTTTGATTTTAATTACCTTTTTAAAAGTTTTGGTATCAGGGAAACAATCGCACAAAACAAAATGTATATATTCACCGTGTCCACAGGAAAAAATGTGGATATACCAAAGAAATCATGTGCTTCTAAAAACTCTGAAAGAATGATAGTGATGAGAGTTCATCTGAGATGACACAATTCCTTACTACGCGAATTTTTTCTTTGGTTATGGATGTGTTTGGATTTTCAAACTCTTGAGTGCATTTTCTAAGCTTGTGTATGGAGCATTTCATAATAAATGTTTAAATTAGATGACTGAGGATAGAATTTACATTAAAAAATCTCCTCTAGTTTTTCATTACCTTTAGTATGTAATTTTGATTAAAAAAACGTGCATTTGCCATGGTGCCTATTTTCTGTTTTCAAATTGATTTCAAATTAGTCTTATATTTACTGTTACTTTTGTTTCTTTTCATTGGTGGTACTGGGGTTTGAACTCAGGGCCTCATCTTGCTAGGCAGATGCTCTACCCCTTGAGCCATTCTGCTAGCCCCTACTTTTGTTTCTTTTAAAATTTTTATTGTTTAAAATTTTTTCTATAATTCTTTTTTTGGTTTATTCATTTATTCATATGTGCATACATTGTTTGGGCCATCTCTCCCTACTTTTGTTTCTTAAATTGCATTTTTTTATTCATCCATATTTTTTCCTTCCTTTTAATGGCTATGAATCTACTTTTCAGCATAGCTTTAATCCTCTACTTTTCCGCCATCTTGCTTTCATTCTGTTTTACTGAATTACTGTTTTTGATAAATAGCTGTTCAGCAGAGGGTTTTAAAATTAGTTTTCAGGTGATTGTGATTAAAAAGTTTGTTTTTATTGCCTTGGGGTCAAAAAACAAGCCTTGTGCAACTTCTGTCCTTTAAAATGTACTGCAGGAGCTAGGCATGTGGTGCATACCTAAATCCCAGCACTTGGGAGGCAGAAGCAGGAGGATTCCAAGTTTCCAAGTTTGAGGCTAGCCTGGGATACATAGTGAGTTCCTGTCTCAAAAAAGCACCACAGGGGAATTGCCAGGTTCCATTCCTTTAAGTTCTTCTGCAGTGTGTTCAGATGCTAAGGTACTGTCTGGCAGGTGGACACCAAATGTCAGGTCTACTTCATTCCGCCAACGAGGCCTATCGGAACCAAGCTTAGGCTAGGAGAGGGTGAAAGATGTCATTGTAGTAAGAACAAAGTACAGAGACTGGAAAGAACATATTTGAGATGTGATATTTTTCATTGCTTGATTTTTTTTTCTTTTTCTTTTTTTTTTGTGATATTAGGGTTTGAGCTTAGGGTTTACATCTTACTAGGCAAGGCAAACACTGTTATCAATTGAGTCATACTCCCAGCCCTTTTTGCTTAATTTTTCAGATACAGTCTTTTTTTTTTTTTTTTTTTTTTTAGGCAAGCACTTTACTTACTAGAGCCATGCCTCCAACAAGGGTCTCCTGGCTTTTGCCTGGGACAGCCTATGCTTCTCCTGTTGTGGATTATAGGCATGAGCCACCATACTTGCTTGTTGTTTGAATTTTTATCCTGCCATAAATATTCCAAATTAACTGGTGTGCAGAAGCTAAAAGCTCCTTCTGGATCTCCCCATGCTGTCATTTTCATTCAACATTGCTATCTGATTGATTTGTAAACTATTCCATTTGGGAAAAAGCTGTATGTTTTTTTACATATCAATTTTGTTTTCCCCCTTCCCCATTTTTGGAGGATAATTTCTCACCTCTATTGATTTGTTTGTGATAGCTCACAGAACATGTTAAGGTCTCCATCACAATCCCTCCACTATTTTAAAGGCCTTTATATTTCTGTATTTCAATCCTACATTATTCTGCATATAAGTATTAAGGTCTGTTGTCTTTACTAACTGTAATTTTATTAGTGAATACATCTTATTATTTAGCCTTTTGCTTTCTCCTTAAATTGCACTATGAGATACTTTATGTTAAGTGTGCATGACAGAAAGAAATCATTCCATTTTAAGAATTCAAAAATTTAAAGTTTTGTCTTAAATGTTTTTCTTTTTTCTTCTGACTTGTTATGTATACATTTTCATTTTTGTATTCAAGAATTTGAATGAGACATTCTATTATTGTTATTAACCACCTTAGCTTTCAAAAGATACTTAATATTAAATTACCAAAGTAAAAAAAACAGAGTAAGTTTTCATTTTCCTTACAAAAATATAAGGATTTTACCCCTTACCTCAGCCTTTCCTCCCCAAAGAAGAAACTGCCATTCCCTCCCCCCCTCTTCTTTAGCTTATTCTGGAGTTATAAACCCCATTTAAAAATGTTGGAATAAATCTAGGAGTGGGGTACACACTATGATCTCAGCACTCAGGTGCCTGAGGTAGGAGTATCATGGAAAGCCAGCATGGGCTACATAATGAGACCCTGTCTTAAAAAACCTGCAAAAAAAACACAACTCCCCCAGAAAACAAACAAAAACTTTAAAACAGATAAACTATAAATACAGTTCAAAAAACTGTTACAAAATCATCACCGTCTTGGTCAAGAAAGACAAAATTACTAGCATTGTAGTTAGCCCCCTTTGTAGCCTTTCCCCGTTTATTTTTGCCTGTTACTGAATTCTGTAAGTGGAAATCACTTGGCACATTTTCTTTTGTTGGTTGATTTCTTTTGCTTATTATGCTAGTGAGAGTTATTTAAAGTGTTACATGTAATAAAAGTTTATATCCTTGCTAGAGAGTATTCCATTCATTCATGCATTCTGTAGATGGATGCTGGAATCATTTCTAAGTTGAGGCTATTACAATTAATGCTAAAAACACTGGGGGGGGGGGCGGTTGTTTGTTCTTTTCTTTTTTTCTTTCTTCTTTTTTAAAAAAAGACAAAGAGTTTCAAACTCAAGATCCTCCTGCTTCAGTCTCCTGAGTCTGGGATTGCAGACACATACCACTACCTGCAGCTCTAACAGCATTCTTCTATGCCTTTTGGTAACTGTAAGTACACATCTCTGTTGGATATATGCATATACATGGAACTGCAGAGTTGAGGGTGTATGTGTGTTCAACTTTAACAGATATTGGCCAACATTTTCCAAAGTGATTGAGCTAATTTACAATCCCACTAGTAGTTATTATTGTAACTACTCACAGACACTTAACTATTGTCAGTCTTTTATGATTTGCTATTCATCCCAATATAAAGATAACATATTATAATTTTAATGTGCGTTTCCTTGATGACTATATGGATGAATGTTTATTAGAACTTTAATTTTTTAAAAACTTATACTTAACTGTCAAAGTAAGATAATGATTAGTTTCTTTACAAAAGATAGGGAATTTACCCAATTATATCTTTTGCCTTATGTGAATGCTGGTTCAATTATCTTGCCTATTTAGGTACTTATTTCTCAGTGAGTTTAGATTTGTCTAGGCCAATTTCAGGGGAATTGTCAGATTTTTAGGATTGCTTTTAGATCCTTCACTGTCCACTCCAGTGCTGATGTAATATCCTAAAGTGGTCAGAAATGTCAGACCCATCTGACTCCCCAAGGAAACCCTAGGAGGTCCATTAGATGTAGAGTAGAAGAGGGCCAGGAACTTCTGTCCTGTAAGTTCAAAGTTCTCAGGATAAAGAAGCTGGAAAGGATACACTGTAAGTATTCTAAATCAGCTGATATGCAGAAGCTAAGAGGTCTTTCTGCAGCAATTATACTGCCTTTGTCACTCCGCATTACTCTTCTGGTCACACTTGGATCTTTTATGACCCCCTTCTTAGCGAATGCCAGCTGTGATTCTCCTGGTTCAGAAAAATCCCCAAGATAATACAGCTTCAGGGCAACTAATTAAGAATATAGAATGAAGCCTATTCTGATGGAACTCTCAACAGCTGTCTCAAATTACTAGTAGAGTCTTCTCATATACACATTACATACATACATATAATACTTTGTAACATAAAGCTGTCATCTTAAAAAAACAGCTATCATCTTGCTTTACTGTCAAGTTGCTTCAATATGGACTTTTTGAGTTAGCCACTTTAAAAAAAACTCATCCCTCAATGCTTTATTTAGTAAAACTTCCTTCTAGCTTCCACTATTCTTAACTAAGTTTCTATGATGGATGAGGATTTTTTTTCCTATGTGATGTTTTCATTGGTTATTTTTGTGGATCACTGGAAAAGGAGGGAGGGCTGAGGGTGTTTGTATTTACACTACTAAATATTACCTTCGTTTCTTTTTAAGTGAAAAAACAGGTCCAAAAAGGCAATGTGGGTCCCACCTATGAAACTAGTTCTTGGGGAACTGAAGGTAAACTATGAAAAGATCTAGATGCCATGTAAATTTCCTATGCTATAAACAACTGAAAGCTATTAAGTAGAAACAGGGCTTTGCAGACACATTGCTAATCTTTCAGGAGGATGTAAAGATCTACTTCTATTTTTTTTTGTGAAATACTTCTTTTGAATTGCTACAGTAAAATAAGACTAGACTGGGTGAAAGATAAAATATATCCCAATACCTGGTATAGGATCCTTATGTCATATGATTCCCAGATTTATGGTAAAAATTGTAAGAGATAAGCAGTGTTAGGAATTCTGGTAAAAGAATTAAGCCAAGATGATACCTAATGTTATATGGACACCTGGTAGGAGTTTGTGATGACACAGAAAAGGTAGTAGCTGTAATTTCTGCTAGTATATTTTTTTTCTTTTTGCCATTGTTGGTTCAGTCTTACTATTAAAGCAGGTCACTTGTCTAGTGCTCAGCATCTGTTGCAAATTCTTCCTAAAGTAGGTCACATTGACAAGAAATTGTGATCTTCTCCACCTTCCTGATAATGTCACACTGGCACTAACATTCTTCAGTTACTAAAGTACTAATGTGAAAAAAGGAAGTCTTTTGTGAAAATGGGTCAATAATATTAAAAATGCAAAAACTATCTCCTAGGGCCAAAATTTAACACAACAGACAGGGGTTTTGTATATAAAGAGAGGGAAAAATTATGTATTTTTATATATTGCATCTTCCAACACAACAAACAAGTTTTGTTGATAGAGGAAAAAAATTATGTATTTATATATATATATATGTATATATACATATATATATAAAAAATCTTCCAGTAAATAAGTAGCTGACTTTTAATTCTTCTTACAGCATTAAAAACCAACCACAACAAACATACATACCTAAAAACTGTGGGCTAATGAATGCTATGACCTATGTACTGCTAAAGCTGGAAAATGCCATTAATATACGCTTAAGAAAATCAGCTAGTTGCAACATTATCTAGTCACAAATGGAGGAAAATTCAAACAATGCAGGCTCAAAGGAGTATTGTGAGTAAGCACTTTGGTTATCATACTGTGCTCAATATTTTTTTTTCCCCAATTTTTGTGGAAAACAGTACTTACCTTATCACAGTTTATAAATTTTGTATCTTAAACTAAAAAAAATTTTCCAAAAATATCCTTCTGATGTTCCTTCTACTAATTTCACAGGGGTGTGGTTCAACAGCAGTTTTTATGGGTGCCTCAGTGGTTGCAACCTTGGCCAACTTCCAGGTTAACTAGCTCATGTGGACTTTGATATTGGGATATAGGCTTCAATCATTTATGACAATCACATAACTCCCTTTATCTGTGATAACCACTCAGTTGGTTTTTCAGTTTTTCAAAGTGCTGAAAAGTACTCAAAGTGTAGCTGCATTTTCCCCTGAGGAATGACTTGTCCTCAGGGGAAAATGCAGCTGATTGTACTTCTTCAGCTCAAAGAATGGCTACTATAATGAATGAACTAAAATTTCAGATTTTACCTAAACATTTCTATTTCATTGTCTAACAATACCATACCTTAGGTTCCCAGGATCCATGTGCTCTTGAGTTACTGTTTCTAGAAAAAGAAACAATGCAATCCATTTATTAGAATTCAGATACTAAAATGGAACTTATCTAATAAGGATGACCTCTGTCTTCACTTTTACTAAAATTATATGTAAAAATAACTGCTAAGATTTGTAATAGAGCTTAACATCCATATATGGAAGATATACCTCTGGATGAGACTGCTTGTATTTTTCAGTTTCCTAATGCAATTCATAATTTCCAATATTAAATTGGGGAAAAAGTAGGTACTTGATCTTAAAAAATGTCCAAGGTAGAAACATTTGTCAACAACTTTTCAGTGTCTTACAACAGTCCAATGTACAGTCCAACACTGGAATCTCTTTAGATCAGCAGATTGCAAAGAATGCCAATGCCCACTCTATCAGAATCACCTAGGGAGATTGGTGAAAAATCTATATCTAACCTAAAGATTTGTATTTTAAACAAATAGCCAAAATGATTATTTTTTGGGGGAGAGGGGTGGTTACTAGGGTTTTAACTCAGGGCCTTGCACTTGCTAGGCAGATGCTCCACTTGAGCCACACACTAGTCCATAAAGCCAAGATGATTCCTAATGGACATTAAAGTTTAAGAACCATTGCTTCAGGCAACACAAACCCCATCACTTTAGGCTCAGTGCCTTAAATAACATTGAAATGCTGCACCTCACTATTTTTTAGTGACAATGTTTACCACCACCTAGTGGCAAAAATCACTTACTTCTATTTTTTAATGGCTTCATTAATACTGAGTAGGATCCCAATAAAACTACAACAGAACAAAATTCAGAGAATGCTAAACTTTTAGAGTAATATCTTGGTGGGTCTTTTTGTTGTTGTTTTATTCTTTTGGTGGTACTGGGGTTAGACCCCTATCGCTTGAACCATATCCCCAGCCCTCTTGCTTGGTATTTTTATTAACTTTTTATTCAAAGTGAGAGAAAACCCATGGAACTAATACCAAACATTTTCTAAACATATTTGAGCATGGAAATTTCTTTCTGGTATATTAAGAAACACAGTTTGCTCTAGAACCAACAAATTTGATAGCTGATTTTAGCACCTGTTATCTACCATACAAGACCTGAGTTCACAAGTTTACAAGAAAATTTTGATTAGGCTTTATCTTAAATGTCATTTATTATTTCCACATATTTGAAACAGGTTTATTGATAATTATTGTCTACTATTTTAATTTTTTTAAAAAAGTAGTATCTAACGAAAACTCACTACATTAGCAGTTTTAGTAACTGGTATGTGTTAAGAATACAAATACACGGATTTTTATACTAACTTGTATCTGAGAAGTAAACATTTAGGTGAAGACATAGCATTAGATTATTTCTTAGGTTCTAGAATTTCCTTATTTTAAGAAAGATACAACATTCTCGTTTTTAAAAATAAAGTTTTGGGGATCAACTGTAAGAGACAGGAAGGGGAGACTAAGGCTAAATGATTGAGAGGGTTAAAATGAAGTGCACACTAAAGCCAAAGTAAGCATTGATTAAGGAGATGTGTCACTGGGAAAGAAAACAACTTCATAGGTAGAGTATTATAAAAGTCTCTTCAGAATTTATAGGAAGGACTCAAGGAAATAAACCTGTATCAGGCACCCTATTGGCAGCACAACTGTTTGATGGAACTGACTATCTGACTTTAAATGCAGAAGAAACTAGGATCAATGAATCCAAACATAAAATCTGGAGGGTAGGAAAGTATATAAAGCTACCATGTGAGAGATTCACCTTCTGCATGGCTCAGTGAAAAGTATAAAGGCTGATAGATGAAAACTGTAGAAAATTAGATTTTTATCTCAATTACAAAGATTAAGCAAAGGTGCAATCAGACTCAAGGAGGAGGAAGCGAGTTCCATTTCTATAACTTAAAATATTATTTTTACCTGGTTAAAGATTAACCACCTAGACAAGAATATATTTTTGAGGGAATTCAAGTATTTCTTGAGTGGTAGAGCTAGATAACCTGCAAAGCACAATTTAATTCCAATCTGTGAAAACTGAACTATGTGTGCAGTAAATGAGTTTGGGAGGAATAAATCTAACAATTGGTAATGAATTCTCAATTATCCTCACTAATGTTTTTCATTTCTAAAGAAAGCATTTGATTTCTCATTAAAATATGCCTTCTGCCTCATAGAAAAATAGCTGCTCCAATTTTTGTTCAACTTAGTTTTGCCTGGGAAAATAAGACTGGAAGTTTTCTTATCTAAATTTATTAAAATTACTGATTCAAAAAAGGACCTTAATTTTTTAATGAAGAAATGTTCAAGCATGAGATACTCCAATATGTTCACTGAATTTAGTACTTCATTATTTTTAGTTTAACTCAGGACATGAAAGGAATAATGAAGAGATAACTAAGTGATGTTTTAACAATTACATATCACTTATAATATCTTTCTTAAGGTGCCACGTTCTTCATTGAGATACATCTTTTTTGATATATTATCATTTATCGAAGAGCTCAGAAAATCCTTTTCCTTGAATTTTCAAAATGACTATCTCCTAGCATAGTCTGTTTTGAAAATTGCTTACATGTCACATTTTTGGAGTAGCCACTATAGTTCTATATTTATAAAGGGAAAAATGTATATCACCTCAAAGCCCCTGACATTTATTTAAATATACTGTCAAGAATAACTTTTAGTTTTTCATCACTATTGCTTTATAATCTTAAAAGATCTTTACAAAATTACCAACGCATTTTGATATAACTAAAAATATACAGCATAAAACCTAGTGATATCTTTTGGCTCTTGTCTTTATAGTAACTGCAGGCAGTTAATCTGCATGTGTAAATTGGGGAGCAATTACCATATTTTATTGAATCTAAGATGCAAATGATTCAAAGAAGTACTTTTACTTTATGTTTCATTATGAAAGAGGTTATCAAGTTCACTATGACACACAACTGATACCAAGATAGTTTCACTTTCACAGGTATTAACATGAAAAAATATGCATCTCAAAATCAATGAAATATGTCAGTCAAATTCTAAACACTGTCTTAAACTTTTTCATTCTCATCTCACATAAATAAGTCATGATTTAGGTAAGCAAAGAAAACTTTATTTCTGCTATACATAACAACATATTGCTCTAAGAAAACTTTATTTCTGCTACATTTAACAACATGTTGCTCCGAGAAACAACTATTATACTAGTTTTAGTATTAAGGTATGGACTCAAAAATACATGTCAGCGATCCCTGATTCCCAGACAAAACAATGTTGTGCAGACTATCAGATATATGGGAAAAAAAAAAAGCTGTCAACTGTCCACAAGGAGTGCGTCCAGTCACATTTTCAGTCAGTCAGCTGAGGATTATGTCATTATTTAGTCTTTGTTCTGTAGAAAGAACACAACACAAGTATGAAAATCATCACCTGAAAGGAAACAGCTATTGTATTGCATTCCTAAGTGTTAGGAATTGTTCTTTTATTTCAACATAACCAATCTTATCTGTTTAATCATAGATGCCCCCAAATAAACAGAACCAAACTTACTCAGAAGGATGATGCAAGCAGGTACTGAATTTCTAGAGGGAAAATGCTGTGAATTAATATAAAATCAGATGCACTAAAATACTAAAATTTCTATTTTCCTCAAATAGAAAGAGAAATACATTATGCACATTAGATTCGTGTCAAATAGAACTCAACTACTTTCAACATTACTGTCTTAGGCCAGTTTTTTTTTTCTTACTTCCTATGTGTGGCTCACTTATTCCTTAGAGCATATATGAGTTATGTTTGGGTTCTCTTGAAACCAAACAAAGTGCACCTTCTACACCAAAGAAACTTTGTCATAGGACATAAAATTTAGGAAAGTCTACCATTATATTTTATTGAATCTTAAAATAACATTATTTATTATTTACTGAGAAAGGGTCTCATTTGCCCAGGCTGGCCTTGAACTCTTGGGTCAAGCCATCTTCTTACTACAGCTTCCTAAACAGCTGTGACTACAGGTGCATGGCACCACATCTGGGCAACATATATTTTGTAATGCATACAAGGAAGAAAATTTCACTACAGAATCTATCTTTGCCTTGAATACATTAACAGTTTAATAAAGGGAAAATGACAGATTTATATTTGTGACTAGTCATGCCAAAAAACATGCAATTCCTTTAATGCAGGTGGGAAGCTGGATGAACTCCCATCACTTTTAAGGGGAAAGACACGGTATCATAAAGCATAGTTCTCAAAGTACCAGCTGGCCAGGAAGTAGTATTGTGCCATTAAACTTTTAGTTTCTTATCATTTGGATGTCATTATATTGGAAGAGATGACATCTCAAAGGAGTCACAGAAGCCATAAATGCAAGAGCTTTAGCTTCATTTGCAAAGCTTTTCTTTGATTTTATGAGGAAGTTTGTGGTCTTACTGCCTCTTAAAAACCCTATGAAAAACCTGGGCCTCAGGGAAGTGAAAAGACCTACCCAATTATAAGAAATATCACAGCTCAAATTCTAACTCAGATCTTCTGATTTTAAGTCCAATGTTCTCTCTTTCTCTCATTTTCAGACAAGGTCTCCTGTATAGACCAAGCTGGCCTTAGTCTCACAATCCTCCTAAGTGCTGAGAACATAGATCAATATTCTCTTTAAAATGTAAATAATCATTAAAAAAAAAACTCAATCAGAGTAATTTCTGTATTTTTCCATATTAGGGAGTGAGTATTATTGTCTTTTTTAAAGACAAAGATTCACTGAACAGAAGCAATTATTAACTATATTGAAATATTCACAGACAGGAATAAACACAATTTTTGCAAGCTGTTTTAGAGATAGCTTGTCCAAGCACACTTCAGTTTCTAGCAGTTTATTCATAAACAGGAAAAACTGCTTGTTAATCCTTTTTCACTGGCAATTTAATATTTCTTGGGTTAAATTGCTAACACTGTATGGCATAACAATAGTGGGCTTTGTCATTAAAAAAAAACATTTTAGAGGTAGGATTATTTCTATAATTGGCCCAGTGGGCATTTCCTATCACCAGCTGCCTTTTATGAAGGAAGAATTTATCACCTGACTTGCTCTGTGAGAGGAAGTCTGCAGCAGCCAGGATGGAGATGAATCATTCTGATATTTGCTAACTCACTTACTGGTCAGAAAGAAAACCTTAAGGGAGAGGAGAGAAACGGTTTCAAGCCAGTAACTGCAAGCTGGATTCATCTGCCCTGTAGTAGACTTGGGAGACTGATGTGTGTGAGAAAGAGGAAACCCAGCTTTCCAGAAACTCAGAATTCACTTACAGAATAAAAAAGTCTAACATGAAACAATGCTTCTCCAAACCATAGAGATATAACCTGTCACATATGGCTGCATGTACCAGATTTATAATGAACAAGATATTTTCAGTAAATGGGCAGGGCTTTTAAAAATTGCATATATGCACATAAAAATATTTTCTGAGTGTGTATTTTTAAATTTATAAACTCAAAACAATAGGTCCAGAAAAAACAATAATATTTAGTTCCATAAGATCCAAAAAAGATGTATTTGATACTGCTTTTGAGACATTTTATTAGTGAGAAGTCAAAACATTATTTATAAAGACTGTTAAAAATTTTCTCAGTACATAATTTAAGACACCAATTCTTTAAGCTAAAAGTCCTCTGAAGGATTTCAATGTTATGGAAGCACATAGAGTCCAAGATACTCACAAATAAAAAAAATTATTTAATTTTCTAAATTGAAATCTGATTTTATTTTATAAAAGAGTAAAAACACTCTTCTAGTAAATGTCAAAAACATTTTTAAGTTTAAATAGTTTAGGTTTAAAAAATACATTGTAAAAAAACTTGGCTTTATCAGCAGTTTTAAGTCAAAGTGCTTTTAACTAGCTTCTACATCCCTAAAAAAAGAGAAGTCCATAATTAAAGTACTTGTCTATATTCCTCTTGCTATGCTAGTTAGCTAATATGTTTTAAAATTCAGGTTAAGAAGTACTTACCTAAGAATCAGTAGGTGCGTTGCCGTTTGTTAGACTCTTCTCTTGGGGACTCGGCCAGCATAACTTTAAGTCTGACCCCATTGAGAATCTTGCCATGTAAAGTGGCAATGGCATCATTAGCGCTTATTCTATCTGCATACTTGGCATACCCCACATTTTTTCCTGACACAAGGTAAACTTCGATCAGGTTACCAAAACGACTGAAACAAAGTAAAAACATCAACTGAAATAGATAAACACTGCTGCTCACTTCTATAATGTGGTATTCCATCTTGACTCTTTTTTCATCCTTCTCTCTATATCCAACATTGAATTCATGCCAATGTTACTCCATACACATCTGCTTCTCCACTGATTTCTCTTCATTCTCTTTCACGTCACCTTCCTCATTCAGATTATCTTTCCCTTAGATTATTCCAGTAACTTCTTTACCAGCCTCCTTGCCCTCTCGCTTGCCCCTTTCCAATCCACTCTCCATCCTGTCTTCTGAGAGATCTTTCTAAAACAAAATATGATCACTTAGCCCCTAAAAATCCCCTCAGCAGTTCCCCGCTGCTCTCAAGGTAAGGACAAACTGCTTAAATAGCTTTTGGGCACGGTCTTTGGCCTCGTTAGCTTCGTATTCCCTCATAATCTCTCAAAGTCCATTTTTTAGTAATCTTCTTTCACATTCTTTTTGGAAGGAAAAGCTATCTGTATCCCCAGCTTTATCCTGTGCCAAAATTATTTCTATCTTATTTCTTTCAAGAAGCTTTCTCAGAGTTTCTATGTATATCATACATTCTTTATAGCAGCACCAATCTCACTCATTAGGTTGCAATTTCTCATTGTCTGTTTCCTCATTACATTAGTTCTAAGAGGTTCAGGACTACAATGTTTTTTGGTCTTTTTTTTTTTTAAATATAATATAATGTTTTGTTTACCAATATCTCTAGCACTTAGTATAGTGCTTGCATGACACAGAGGAGTGGCTTAAGATTAAAACTAATGGATCAGTTAAATAAAGGGCAAAATGCTGGAATCATGTGCCTAATGTTTTGTGCAGATCTTTCACAAGCTTCCTATCTATCTGCTTAATTCACTAACAGTTTTTTTGGTGATACTGGGATTGAACTAAGAGACTCATGCTTGCTAGGCAGGTGCTCTACCACTTGAATAACACTGCCAGCCCTTTTTCCAGTGGTTATCTTTGAGATAGGGTCTTGCTTTATGCCTGGGCTGGCCTGGACCATAATCTTCCCTTGCAATCTCTGCCTCCCAAGTAGTTTGTTAGAGGCTTGAGCTACCATGTGCCCAGCTTGACTAACATTTTTGTAAAGCAAACAGGAAAATGACAAAAAGATAAAACTAATGTAAAGGTGTTATATTAAAAATACAAACACGGCAAGATCCTTCCCTGCTTTACACTTATTATGTACTCTTAAATAATCTCCCCTACAATAAAGTATTGTACACTCAATGTGAATTACTTACTTCTCAGGATCCAACAGAGCACTGACAAAATGGAAGATGTTTAGTAAATACTGTGCAGCTGAACTACAACTATGAAGGAAAACATATGCAAGAAGAATTCTATTGGACAGGTCTACACAGATGCACCTTCAATCAAGAGACAAACATGTTGTTCATGCTATGTATGCAGGTTTTCAAAACATGCTTTATACTTGTTTTAAGTCTTCAAAACAAAATAACAATGTATTCTGTGTAGAGCCTTAAGATGTGTGACTGGCAAAGAAGAAAAGGAAATGATCATAAGTGAAAATGATTCAAGTAGGGAGTCTTTAAATCCACAGAACAAATCATCTCCTATAGGTATTGGATATTGGGATTGAGGAAGTTTCAAGATTGTAAGAATGCTGAAGTTACTGTTTAAATAAATCACACCTTAAAAATGTAACTTGTAGAAAAGAAGTCTTACCAGAATATGTCCTCTAATATGTCTAAAGGTAAAGGATGAGGATTGAACACGATAAAAAGTCTTTCTTTCACAGGAGTTTCAGGAGGGGCTTTTTTTTTGCATGATGGAAGTATAACATCTGTCTGGATTTGAGGCAACTGCGATCCAGAACCTCCTCCAAATTGCTGCCCAAGAGTTAAGAACAAAAGCAGAAAAAGAGAACCTGTAATTCAGGAATATTTAACTAAGAGCTAAAAATTGTGTATCATGGCATCTATGTGTTCCTCTACTACAGCTATGAAAATTTTCTTACTTAAGTCAAAATAAAGATCATATTTATTTATACTGTTGACTATATTATAGTGGTTAAATTCTTACTGCTTACCAGAAATTGCTGCTGATTTGGGTTATTCCACACCATTGATGCAAGCTGTGCAGCTACCATCTGTGTTGCCATTTTTCTAAGGAGACTGGAGACAATAACTAATAATTTACAGAAAACTAGAGATGTTCAGCCTCTTAACAGTAATTTGTTTTGTGTGACTTCCTCACCTGAGAAGTCAACTGTTTTCTATTTCATTCTTCAAGTCACCATCATGTACACCCAAAGCTTGGCTTTGACACTCCTGAAATGGTACTTACTCTGTTGCATTGCTCCCATCATCGATGAAGGAAACACCTATTCGATTCCCTGGAGGGTACTGAAATCCATGCAGCTTATACTTTGCATAAATAGCTGAGGCTACATTAAAATACTGAACCACTCCATGACCTAAAATAGATAATATATGTAAATGAAAAAGAAAGCAGAGTAAATTAGGAAGGCCTATGTTACAGTGTAGCTCAAAGGTAAACAATATAGGACCCTGATTCGCATACAACTGGTAAATACAGAATCAAATGTATCAGAAAACAAAGTCCAGTTAAACATGTGTGCAATGCTGTATTCCTACAAAGGGAAACATAAATCAGATTTTGGTATGTAGCCCAGGCTAGCCTCAAACTCATGATCCTCCTGCTTCAGCTTCCTGGGTACTGGGATGAGAGGCATGTATAACCATGCTCAGCTTGGCTTTTTTTATATCATATCAATATACCTAAGAACCTAAATTTTTATTCTTTGAAATTTATTTTTTTATTCTTTGAAATTAAAATTTTTTTTTGTATCCCACCTGGTAGGAAATAAAATGATAAGTGATATATGAAAAGGATATATACTCAGCTAGCTGTAGCAGTAGAGAGAGAAAAAAGTAGTATGAAAAACTAAAAGGTAGAGGGTCTCAGATCAGAAGTCACCAATTTCAAATTCCTTTGAAAAGAATTCAGTTACAGGGAAAGATTTCATTTCAAGAGGGTGATGTTGAAAGGAGGAACCATTTTATACTAGAGTTCATAAATGGAGAGCCAGGAGTTTGTGACACAACCAAAAGATTTTCACAATATACCCACTTTGGGGAAAAAACCACTATTATGATTTCATGTTCTTCTCTAAGCCCAAGCATCCAATGTTATAATGAAATTAAAACACAGAAATCAAATGACCATATGAAATAAATTCAAATAGAATTCTAACTATAGGATGACATATCTATGAATCAAAAGGTGATCCAAGCCAGGCCCTGGCGGCTCACGCCTCGAATCCTAGCTACTCAGGAAGCAGAGATCAGGAGGATCGTGGTCTGAAGCCAGCCTGGGCAAATAGTTTGTGAGACCCTATCTTGAAAAAAACCTTCACAAAAAAGGATTGGTGGAGTGGCTCAAGGTGTAGGCCCTATGTTCAAACCCCAGTACCTCAAAAAGAAAAAAAAAAACATGATCCAATGATGTACATTTGTCAGACTTGTCAGACATAGCCACATAGGAAAATAATAAAGAAGATAGAAGAACAAATACATTTCAACATACAGATAAATCATAGGGGGGAGGGGGATACAAAACAAATGAAATTGCAAGTACATATAACAAATGTGCATAAAATATGTATGCCTAGGAGTCTTAGAACAAAGAATACAAGCATAAAATTGGGTAAAGTTGGAGATGGCTCAAAGTAAGTTCAGGCAGAAAGATGTGCTTAATAAAAACCAAAAGCTCAACACACAAAGAGGGGTTAAGCTAACACTAGATAACAGGTCTATAATAAATTAACTAGTTAACAAGTTCAAATATTAGAGCCTTGCTTCTACTGAGAATTAGGATAAGGACAGACTAGGGCATGAAGATGCTTGAAATGATGGGAGAGAATTTCATTTGGGGTTATCAAGTTTAAGAAAATGAGACTAAGGGATGGTTTCTAAGGAGAAACGTTGAGAGTTTTAATCAAACAGTACAGAGACTCTAGCCACTGTTGTACAACTAGAAATAGAGACTGCTCTATTTTGGGGAGATGAAATATTTTTTATAAAATGGATGACTTTGTATAAAGGAGATAGACCCCCAGGAATTTGTTTATTAATGTTTCATTGGATTTTAAAACATAATGAAGAGAAGGAAAACTAAAACTACTGTCACATAAACAGTATCTGAAAAAAACTGTCATTGGAGAAAAGCCTTTTTAACAAAACACATTTTAACAAAATACCTAAAAAACAACATGGACATTGTCTACCATAATTTGAGTAAGGATCACGTTGAACTTCACAATACTCTAGTCCTGGTATTATATCAAAAATGCTGAAAAGCTGCTCTTCAGTGAAGGGAACTCTTGATACAACTGACAGGCGTTTGGAGATAGCTTCCTGGCCTCTGCTATCATTCTTGTCAAAACTTGAAAATTCAGATTGTTGTTCTCCAACAAAATAAAAAAAAGTAATCTTTAATTCTATACCTTCAAAAATTCATGAACATTTCACGTACTAGAAAAATAAAAGTTCACTGTACCAAAGAAAGTACCATATTTTTGTGGTGTGCTTTCATCATCAGCATTACCAAAAGGGCACCAATGACAAGAAAATGACAAATCTCCCTATCCTCCTACTTCCCATGCAAAATATAAGCAGAGATGTGTAGTTTAATCCCACAGGGAGTAAGTTTAGTCAGTAAAATGAAAAATATGGGCAAGTATTGTACCTCAAATTTTATGCTCTTAACACCCACAGACCTTACTTTCATCACTCATTTCCCCTTTTTCCAGCTTCTATAACTCTGATTTTAAAGCTGCAGTAGTTTTGAGAAAAAAAATTAGGACTCACACTGAGGGTATATCTGAATACAACTTTTATACTTTTGGTCAGCTACATAAAGGCAGCAGAAGTTCACTCAAAAAATGACACCAACACAGTTTAACATGTAGATAATGCACACTCCAACCTAAGAAAGCTATAATTGGGAATAAGTTAAAATAGGTGTGGGAATAAGTTAAAATAGGTGTTAAGTATTCAGGACATTAGAAGATATAATCAACTTTTTAGTTAAACAAAAATAAAAACTACATTTAAGATTTTTATTCCACTAGGTGAGATTTATAGATTGTTGATTGAAAGTTACAGTTAAAAACTCAAATTAGACTGCATATACTACACACACTATTTAATAAAGATATCCACTTACCAAATGGAAACAGATTTACTCTAGGTTCATGTCCCAAACCCTCTTGCTCATATTACCATAATAATCTTGATCTGAGGACTCAGATGCTTTATTTTTAGGTTCAGCCAAGATAGCCCTAAACCTGAAGGGGAAAAAAAAAAAACAAAGAAAAATCCATGAATTTCAAACTTCATAGCAAACTTAAACAGACCTGTAAGTATACACATGCTAGTGCCTAATTTAGCTTTATTAAATATAATCATACAAAGCAAATACTATACAATGGCCATCTCCACCAGATGCCAAATTGCTTTCTGAAATAGGAACTATTGCAGATACCATTGTTTATTCACCCAGGTTCTCAACATCAAAATCCTAATGGGTGTCTTTGTATTTAACCTGTCAGCAAAATTCTTCTTTTGAAATATTCTTAGAATATGTTATCTTTCATTCTAACTTCTCTGCCTGTTTTAAATTTAGGTTCTCTTCAATCAATTATAATATCCATTTACTAGACTTGTTTCTGGACCAAGGGTTCTTTTTTTTTTGCAGGGCTAAAATTCCCAAATTTATTCATCTTTCATGTCATATGTGGTTTTTCTTTTTTAAATTGTTTTATTATTCATATGTGCATACAAGGCTTGGGTTATTTCTCCCCCCTGCCCCCACCCCCTCCCTTACCACCCACTCTGCCCCCTCCCTCTCCCCCCACCCCCTCAATACCAGCAGAAACTACTTTTGCCCTTATCTCTAATTTTGTTGAAAAAGAGTATAAGCAATAATAGGAAGGAACAA